GAGTAGTCAGTAGCAGCAGAGATTCCATAACGATTGGCTTGTAATTATTATTATTATTAAAATAATTCAAGCAATGATCGAAATAAATACTGCGAGAAAAAAATCTCTTTTATCGTTGTCTCGAGCATTGAGAGGTTCAAAGGTTCACAGGGCTTAATCCCAAGGTGTCTTCAATGGATCGCTATACATGCTGCCAATTGCTACTAAATTTCCGGCCATTGACTAACTACGAGCTTGGTGGGACGAGCTAAGAAAACTAATATTAGTGGAGAGAGTGGAGTTTTACTTTATTCGGGTATCTGGGTAATAACACGAATTTATCGCTGTTTCTGTCTGTATCTCTCGGTGCTTGGGTGCCTCGGGTGCAGTCCATTCGAGATACACCCTTGGCCTGAAGCAGTCTGTTAGCTGCTGTGAATCGTTTGCCGAGCTGGACACTGACCGTATACTCGTAGAAGTGGAGAGCTGCGGCACCCTCAATCAGTGGCAAAAGATCACAATCACTGGCACACAGCATAGAGTTCCAGTTTCCAGTTCGCCGCTACATGTGTGTGACTCCAAAGAAGGAAGGTGAACACCTAAGCTGCAGAAGATGTCATCGAATATGCTGACGCCCATAGTCTTTGTGCAGAGTGTCCTCAATGGTTTCCGCAAGTCGCGCAAGTCGTGTCAATGTGCTGAATGGGCTGCTGGCCAGGCGATGGATGCCTTTCTGTCTTTCCCAAAGACCTCGTGTCAGGCAGTTGTCAGTGTCAGCTGATCGGATGGCATCTACAGCAGCTCAGCTGACACGTTCTGAGCATACAACTTCGGCAGGTCTTCTGTCGCACACTTTGTCTTTGATTGCTCACAAATCTAGTGGAGAAACTGCAACTTGGAACCTTTAGCTATTGGCCTTCTTAGCTCCTGCTGCTGACTGAGCACGAACGAAGTAATCCACGTCTACGCGCTCGGTTTTCGGCTCGGCCACGAACCAGAGCGGCGGGATTGACTCCACGTGCTGCTCGAGCACTGCGTGGATTGTATCCGACGCTCAACGAGTGCGCAAAAATGTTTAGTTGTATTCACTATAAACTACAAATGATACGACAGGAATGAATACAGCTTTTATTTTTGATTTGAAATGTGGGCAGCCCTGTGGAAAAATGTTGGTAATAAGGTGTTGTTTTCATGCATCCACGGTGGCGAAGAATGCTGTAAGCATGTATAAATTGGTGGAAAAATATGCATGAAAGAACGCGTATTTTGGGGTTTCTGTACTACATAGTCTACCAGGGAGGGATGCAAGATCGATTCTTTTTCGCAACTACTTCTAGTCGGTCCGACTGGCCATCAGTCGGATCGAACAATTTAAATCAGTGCTCGGCACGGCCCTATTGTGAATGGTACAAGGCTCTGCCGCGGCGCTGCCTCTCACGGGGTTAAACAATTTTAGCTCAGCCGTCTCTACATAGATTTTAAGAAGCGATACCTTCAACGACGCCCAATTAATGCACCTACTGGACACATGATTTAATTTTTTTGTACTTTTCCCGAGTTTCTAAAGTCAAAATTTAAAAAAACACATCCAAAAATCAACATCAACTTCAAATAAACATTTTTGCATTTCAAACCTTAATATTTTTAAAACGGTAAGCCAAAACCATAAAGTGTTTGTGTACACCTTATAGATAGAACATTATATAGAAAGACTAAGTTTATTACAGCCAGATACTTGGGTTGTGTGAAAAAAGAAGAACTAACTCTAAATAATATTAAGAAAAAAATAAAAGATGTTTCAATGTTTTTCTGCCTGCGCTGACTTTCTGAACTGCGATGGAACGAAAATTCGTTTTGATGTTTTGATTTTGTTTTCGGGGCTTGGTGTATGAACCTGACCTGCCGCAACATGTGCAGAATGATGGGTGGGGGTTGGTGGCCGGTCCCTTGGGGGTTGGAAAAACTAAATATACCAATAAAAGTTGTTATTGTAGTTGAATGCTGTAATTGTTTTGAATGCAGATTTTATACTGCTTTATTCAAAATTGTATGCATATTATGGAAACGCCGTCGCTTCTCGACTTCGTTGCTGCCGTATTATCAACATTGTTACCAAATCCATCTTTTACAGACAAATCTTTTCAGATAAATATAAATACGTACATACCTCGTATATATGCATATACATGTGTATATATATGTACATATGTATGTACATACATCTTTCCAATTTCTGTTCTCGTCGTCGGTTATGTTCTCGACTTCATGTGCGCTTTAATTGTTAGCGCTGGAAACCTTTTGCATTTATATTTTGTTCTGAGCTCACATACCCTTTAAAATGAAAACCCTCAAGACTTTATGAAGAAGCTTGCCCTTCTATATCAAAATAAATTTATTTTGTGTGACCTTTATATGCTTTATATAATTTAGGATGAAAGGGGTAACGGAATATTTGTAGACTTATACATATGTTTAATACTTAATGCCGTTAACTGGAACGCAACGTTTATAAAAGGTAATCTCATAAGTCTCAGTGCCACATTTGTTCGTACCTCAACACTGCCTTGCCCTGTACCTCTGTACAAACGACCGTTCCGCCGACGGAACGTGTACATGTGTGTGTAATTGTGAACGAGTAAAAAGAGGCACTCCCATCGGCAAATCGAGATTTGGACAACTGACTTCAAATTTGATGCCCAAGAATGGCACTAAAATCTGCATAGACCCACCGCGTACCTATTTTTTTGTTTTATATGTGTACATATGTATGTATATAATTTTTTGTGATATATTAAATGAATGCATATGCAATTATTTATCATATACATACATATAGATATATATCTAATATGTATGTACATATTTACATTCATTACATTTAGTAATAGTAATAGATCAATAATATATATATATTAAAATAATTAAACTAATAAATAATTGCATATGAATTCATATAATATATCACAAAAAATGATCAAAATCATAACATCAAAACGAATTTTCGTTCCATCGCAGTTCAGAAAGTCAACGCACCAACACATACATTACTTGCAGTGTCCGTGTGAATCAAATCATTGCACTATGGTCCCAATGCCCACTTTTGTTGTCCTAAATTAATAACTCGCGAACGAAATAAGATATTTTGATTTAGTTTTTTGATATTAGTTAAGAATAGCAAGGGCATGTTTTTTGAGAAAATGTTTTTATTTTTTTTTTACCAAAATGTTAGAAGCAAAAAACTATTGGAATATGTTTAGCAGTGCAAGATTCTATAAAAAAGGTCGTAGTGCGAATTAAAACAACTTAAAAATCCAAGATAATCGAATTTTTTGTCCCACAAAGCATTCTCCATAGGAGTTTCCAATATAAAACAATGTTACACTGGATATCAAACTCTAGCCCTCCAAAATAACTAATTACTAATACTGTGGCTTAAATTCAATGCAAAATGGCACCCTACTTCACAATTTTCTTTTTCATTGTGTTCCAAACGGCAAAAAAACATTGAAATTTCTCAATTGAGGTTATGATCTATAAATGCAAATTGTAAGAGTTGTGGTAAAATGTGGCAGTATGAATATATATACGTTTTAAGAATCATTTATTGTTCTACGACACACAATAGGTTTCAAAGTGGAACTAGGTGACACTCTATTAATTATTATATATATATTTTTATATTATATATTTTTCAATTTATGAGATATTTAAAACAGCAATAAAATTGGTACTTTTTCCCTTCACATTCTTTGCAATAATGACCGCTGGGTTTCATAGCAGATTTTTCGAAAGTGGCGCCATCTATGAAAATTTCTGGCACGCAACTTTGATGGTCACTCCTTTTCTAATACAGAGCGTTAAAAACCGAGTCTTGGTTTTAACTTTTAAAAATTAGCTTTTGGCCACTGTTTCCGCAACTCCTCGCAACCAGTTCGGAATCAAAATCTCGAAATAAAAAGCCAAGTGCTGCTGGTTCGACCGAGTCGGAATTCAAATCAATTTAATCTCTTCTTCTTTTCAATTTCGATATTCACCTATTAAATGCATGTTCTTCCTCTTTCTCTATCGTATTCACATATTACATGTATGTTCTANAAAAAAAAAAAAAAAAAAAAAACGGTCTGAAAAAATTTAGAATGTCAGACAATAGTATTTTGTGGTATCGATAGTATTTGTGTGGTATTGATAGTAAAATAAAGATCTGTTTTAATTTCCGAGATTTCCTAGCAAACAGAGTATAGTCTCAATCAAATGGAGGCAACAATGCCACTGAAGTTGAAAGATAAACGAGAAGGGACGTGTGAGACGCTTCTTATATACCCGGCACTCAGGACTACATCTAGATGTAGAAGACATCGCCAACCACTAGATATCGTTCACATTACAGAACACCTTGTAAAAAGCCTACTAAATAAAATACATCAAAAAAATTGGATCAGTTAATCGTATTTTTCAATTTATGAGATATTTAAAACATCAATTGAATTGGTACTTTTTCACTGCACATGCTGTGCAATAATGACCGATGGGTTTCACAGCTGATTTTGCGAAGGTGGCGCCATCTATGCAAATTTCTGGTACGCATCTTTAATGATCACTCTTTTTCTAATACATAGCGCCAAAAAATGGAAAGTGGTCATTGGGACCATAGTTGCATTGGCTACACGCACTATGAGTGAAACGAAACTATCGTGTGATGATTAACCCAATGATGGCAAGCCCATTCATTACAAGAAAAAAGTTTAAGGTTTTTATTTTAATTTGATTTTTCAATAATTAGTTGATACTTGAAAGTAGTCGGTAGGTTGGTTAATTACTCTTAATTACTCTTACTCTTAATTCTACAAAACATTCAAATGTGATTGCTGCAAAAGTTATTTTCATCGCGCATATGCTTAACATGGGGGGGTTAATAGGGTTAAAAATATAGTGCTGCCACTGTTTGCCAATAAAGTTCGGTTAGGTTCGGATCGGTTCGTTTGATTCGACTGGTGGTTCAAACTTTGACAATTGTCAAACAACACGTGAAACGAAGCTTCGCAATGGACGCCTGTAAGAAAATCATCGAAGATCTGCTCGACAAGAAGCACTGCCACTATGCATGGCCCTTCTACAAGCCGTTGAATGCGGAAAAGCTGGGTCTGACCGATTATCACCACAAAATCAAGAAGCCCATGGACCTGGGCAGCATCAAGTACAAATTGGAGGACGGGCACTACAGCAGCGTGCTTGAGTTTGCGGAGGATGTGCGCTTAGTATTCTCCAACTGCTTCAAGTACTTTGATCCGGATAACGATTATGTTGGCATGGCCCAGGAGCTGCGCCACGTGTTTGAAATGCTCTACGCTCAAATACCCGACGAACCGGTGCCCAATGTGCCAGCACACAACACGCACATTCAGGGGAATATGCAGGGACCAACTGGCAAACCGCTCGCTTGGCTCAAGCTCACTTTGAGCTCTAACTCGGAATTTGATTCGGACACAGACACGGACTCGGACTCTGACTCGGAGGATCTCGCCGCCAAGCTCAAAGCTCGACCACAGTGCCCGCCACCCGCAGCGCTGTCACCAAAGCAAAGAGAGGACGAGGACGACCCAGAGGCAAGCATAACTGATGGAACTGGCAGGGAGACGGAAAAGGAGGCCACCGAGGCCACCAGTTAAGTAAAGTAAGTAATTTGTATAAAGTATCACGTTTAGCCCAACTACAATTAATTTATTTTGTTTGCTTTGGTTGTCTTAGAATAACTTCGAAGAAGACGTGGCTCGAAGAGATAAAGAATCTCGGAGGACAGAGTAGTCAGTAGCAGCAGAGATTCCATAACGATTGGCTTGTAATTATTATTATTATTAAAATAATTCAAGCAATGATCGAAATAAATACTGCGAGAAAAAAATCTCTTTTATCGTTGTCTCGAGCATTGAGAGGTTCAAAGGTTCACAGGGCTTAATCCCAAGGTGTCTTCAATGGATCGCTATACATGCTGCCAATTGCTACTAAATTTCCGGCCATTGACTAACTACGAGCTTGGTGGGACGAGCTAAGAAAACTAATATTAGTGGAGAGAGTGGAGTTTTACTTTATTCGGGTATCTGGGTAATAACACGAATTTATCGCTGTTTCTGTCTGTATCTCTCGGTGCTTGGGTGCCTCGGGTGCAGTCCATACGAGATACACCCTTGGCCTGAAGCAGTCTGTTAGCTGCTGTGAATCGTTTGCCGAGCTGGACACTGACCGTATACTCGTAGAAGTGGAGAGCTGCGGCACCCTCAATCAGTGGCAAAAGATCACAATCACTGGCACACCTCTATGCTGTGTTCCAGTTTCCAGTTCGCCGCTACATGTGTGTGACTCCAAAGAAGGAAGGTGAACACCTAAGCTGCAGAAGATGTCATCGAATATGCTGACGCCCATAGTCTTTGTGCAGAGTTTTCTCTAGGGGCTCTGCCAGTCGGTTATCAATGCAGAAGTCAAGGCGAAAGGCTTAGCCGGTTGTCAGGCGACGCACGCCTTCCGGACTGTGGCAAAGGCCACTAGTGGGCCAAGCTGTTCCTGAATCTTTACAACTACGGCACCTGAAGAGAAAATGAACAATAAGCTCCACCATAAAGACATACATATGTAGATAAGCTTATGCCACTTACCGAATCTAGAACGCCGTGACGTTGTTCCGAAAGTGGCATTGGGATGATGATCTGTTCAATGCCTAGACAGTATATGAGATGTGGGATCGGCAGACTCAATATTACACTACAAAGTGCAGCCACAGGAACATAAAACTCTGGCCACGGTGAAGCATATCCGCCTGCATCAGGACATCCTTGGGTTGGGTGCACTGGATCTCCCGCTGATCTTACCAAACACAATATAAATAGTTGTCTTGTCTAAGTTGAGTGCTTTTGGCTTTGGTCTTACCGCTCATGGATGGCTCACCTTCAGAAATATGGCTGCCTGACACGAGGTCTTTGGGAAAGACAGAAAGGCATCCATCGCCTGGCCAGCAGCCCATTCAGCACATTGACACGACTTGCGCGACTTGCGGAAACCATTGAGGACACGCTGCCCAAAGGCAATGGCGTCAGCTGATCGGATGGCATCTACAGCAGCTCAGCTGACACGTTCTGAGCATACAACTTCGGCAGGTCTTCTGTCGCACACTTTGTCTTTGATTGCTCACAAATCTAGTGGAGAAACTGCAACTTGGAACCTTTAGCTATTGGCCTTCTTAGCTCCTTCTGCTGACTGAGCACGAACGAAGTAACGCGTCTACGCGCTCGGTTTTCGGCTCGGCCACGAACCAGAGCGGCGGGATTGACTCCACGTGCTGCTCGAGCACTGCGTATGGATTGTATCCGACGCTCAACGAGTGCGAAAAAAATGTTTAGTTGTGTTCGCTATAAACTACAAATGATACGACAGGAATGAATACAGATTTTATTTTTGATTTGAAATGTGGGCAGCCCTGTGAAAAAATGTTGGTAACAAGGTGTTGTTAAGTGATGGTCTGTGTGCTTGATGGTGCAGTCAATGCAAAACACGAGAAGGGACGTGTGAGACGCTTCTTACGCGTCATAACTTTTATACCCGGCACTCAGTACTACATCTGCACCTTAGCGGTGTTTTGTCAATTTTTGCATATTTTCTTCATCTGTCATCTACATATTCTACACTTCTCACACCCACACGCTCCTTTTGCGGGGGCGGAAAGGGCCGTGGCTCATTTTTGAAATACACTTGTAACAGTGTGAGCATATAGAAGTCTGGATGCAAAATTTGGTGGCTCAAGCTTGTATGGTCTCTGAGATCCAGGCGCTCAACAAGATGGCTCAATCGACTCGGCTATTGATGCTGATCAATAATATATATACTTTATGTGGTCGGAAACGTTTCCTTCTGTGTGTTACATACATTCACTTTGTGCACAAATACAATATACCCTATTTACTCTTCGAGAACCGGGTATAAAAAATTGATCTTTCATCACTCACAGTTTGGTATGCATGTATGCATGCTTACAGTACTCCCTCGCTGAAAGGCCTTTCGCTGGGGTTTTGAAGAAGCTGTGGAATATAATAATTATGGTTCCCTGTTGTCTTTGGCCGACTGCATGTTATAGTTCACATTTGTTTTCTCTTTTTTGTTTCTCTTTTTACAAACTTCTTTTTCTAATCTCTCTTCTTTGACTAATGTAAAAGAATCAAATAAGGGGGGAATGAAAGGTCGTTAAATCAAAAAGAATAGAATAATAGAATTTACAAAATTTAAGTTTAATTAATTAAAAAAAAGACGGTGCTTTTGGCTTCGATTGCAGCCTAAGAAATATTAATGGACCTCTTAGCGGTTCTACACTGTAGGTTGTGGCGCCTGCGCAGAGGTTATGGCAAGGTTACATCAAGGTTGTGGGGATGTTATGTAGATGTTATGGTTTTTCCAAAATGAGTGCAACTAGGTGCTGGGGCCGGGACTCGACCGGGCTCACAAGAAAAATTCCCCACCCCCACCTTATTGCCGACAAGACGTCAAGGCGCTGCTGCTCTGGCTGAGTGTGGGGAGAAGGGTAAGCGAAGCCCTGCGGGGGGGAAGAATACAGCCAAGAGGCTATTATAAGAACCTTTGTTCTCTGCCACATTGGACCTACCGATCTTTCCGGGATTTCCGTGGATACTTCTTCACTTTCTTCTGTCAGTATACTGATTGTTTCTTTTTCACCGGCGTGGATGGGGGCACGCCAGCCAAAAAATAACTTCACTGAAATAACTGCACGGCGTTCGTGTTAAATTTTTCAAACACGTTGTTGGTCGAAAATTGACCAACTATAGGACGGGTCACGAACCGATCAGAATTTTGGATATACGAAAGGAAAAACTTTTCTGGGGGATCGAGCCGTTTAAATGCGATCAGAAGAGCTAAAAACATGTTCTAAAAGCTTATTTTGCGATAATATCATTCACTGCTTTTAATTATTTGTGTTCAGCTGCAACTACCAGCGCCACCACAAAGAGGTTTACCATTCAATTTCGATGACCGTTCAGCACAATAATGTTATTAGCATTGTGTTAATATTGAAATTAGACAAAAGTTCTCCTCTTACTGAAACTCGCAAGGATACTTGCTTTGTTGTCGCGCGTGTCATGACACCGGAAACCGACTAAAGACTACAATTTTCACCTAATTTGGAAGTTTTTTTTCTCTCTTGATCAGAATTTTACAGGGATCGCATGAGGATAGCTTTTACGTAAAGGATATGAGTCCTGTCAACAATTTGAAGATGTTAAACCATTACATAATTGCATTAAACAGGCCTGCAGAGAGCTTTAATTGAACCCTTTGAAAACTCGTTAATTTTAATGTCCTGAAGGACATTACCAAGCAATTCCAAAAAAGTTGTTCACAAAAAATATTAGTTATGCTCCAAACATCATAAAAAATGAGAAGGGACGTGTGAAACGCTTCCTACAAGTCACAACAGTTATACCCGGCACTCAGTACTACATCTGCACCTTAGCGGTGTTTTGTCAAATGTTGCATATTTTCTTCATCTGTCATCTACATCTACTACACTTCTCACACCAACACGCTCCTTTAGCTCACCGCCCTTCCCTAGACACACTCACTGCAGACTCGCGGCAGAGGCAGAGGCACCGTCCGCACAAAATAAAAAAAAATAAAAAAAAAATATAAGCTGCATGACGGGGTGGGTTAAAAGTCGGTTGAGGAATCGGCAGGCGGAGGGCAGAGGCAGGGGCCGCGTGAAGCAGAAGCAGAGAGTGAATGAGAGAATGTAAAAAGAACAACAAAAGCTGCGGGACAGGGTGGGTTTAGCCACTGGAAATTAATTTCTTCATTCTGGCCATAATAATGATCCAATCAGATCCCATTTTGGTGATCTGATAGATATGGCCACTCCCTACAGAATGGCGTTTTAAGATTTCTTCAAACTTGTAGATTTGGAAGGTTTTCGCCCTTTTGCGGGGCGGAAGGGGGCGTGGCTCATTTTTGAAACACACTGGTTTCAGTGTGAGCAAATAGCAGTCTGGATGCAAAATTTGGTTGCTTTAGCTCTTATAGTCTCTAAGAACTAGCCGACAAACAAGACGGACAGACAGACATGGCTCAATCGACTCGGCTATTAATGCTGATCAAGAGTATATATATACTTTATGGGGTCGGAAACGTTTCCTTCTGTGCGTTACATACAATCGTTATTCCCCACAAATACAATATACCCTATTTACTCTTCGAGTACCGGGTATAAAAATGAATTACAAAGCTTTTGAAAGATTAGAGCCTAATATTCATTATAGAGTCTATTCGAATGATCGTTTAAACGGGCCTTATTTTTGGGGTATTTACACAAAATAATTCACAAAAAAAACCTTTTAACTTAGAAGTCAAATTCTTTACTTTTTAAATAAGGAAAAGAGCCTTGATCAATGGAAAAATAAATTTGTTCCACTATCATTCGTAGCTGGATTTTTAGAAACTTTTTTCAATTCGAAAATTTGTGAGTCTATTCGTCTGATTGGGAGTGTATATGTATGGTTTTATTTTACCAAAGTTCTGGTAAGGCTCCTGTCCTGTTTTCAACATCTTATCAATTTTTTGTTGCACTGTCTTATTGTTTTTGACGACGTTGTTAAAGTTTAATGTTCTTTTAAATCATGCAAATCCGTATGGAAAATACAATTGGTTTGCTCTGGAATCTTGCATTTTGTGTGAGTGCTTTCTTGCCTTCTCTCTGATGTTCCCAGGGTGTCTTCAGGTTGCGATCAAGTGGGATAGGGATACTGCAATGGCGTACACACTCGTATTTACAAATATGTAAATATTTAAATTTCCGTATTGCTTCATTTATGTTAATGTAATTAATTAATTAAAATAATTTGTAAAGATTTACAAATGTTCGGAAATGTTTATTAGAAGGTCTCATGTTATTATTGGCCTATCTACTCCGTTTTCCCCTTACAAACTCCATTTCAAAAGCAATACAGATATTTTGATACACATTTTTCAAGTTAAAGTTGGCGTAGAGTTTTGTTTTATTTATTTAAAATTGTACACACTCAAAATCTTACAACTGGCCGAACGCTGGACCGGCTGGCGGGCGTGCCGGAAGACAAGCTGGTCGAGGCCCATGGCAGCTTCCACACAAACCACTGCATTAAGTGCAAGAAGGAATACGGCATTGCCTGGATGAAGGAGGAGATCTTCGCTGATCGGCTGCCCAAGTGCACGGCATGCAAGAAAATTGTGAAGCCGGATATTGTTTTCTTAGGAGAAGACTTGCCCGAGAAGTTCCATAAAAGTTTGGATGGAGACTTCAAGGAGTGCGATCTGCTGATCATCATGGGCAGCTCGCTGGAATTGCATCCGTTTGCAGCTGTGGCGTAGTACCCTGGACCGCGCTGTGTGCGTCTCTTGATCAATCGCGATGCCGTGGGTCGTCCCAAGTTTACCACCTGGATGGATGACCAAAATGACGACTGTCTGCGGCAGCATCCGCTTGGTACTTGGTTCACAAGATCGGAAGTGATGATGTTTTCGAGCTGGAGCTGCAGTCTGCTATCTGATGTTCATCGTCTGATCAATGAGCTGTGCTGCGCCAGCGCTGTTTTCATCGCTCACACTACGGTGGGATGAACTTGAATCAATACTAATTAAAATATCTCAAAATCGGATAAAGTACCTGAAGAGCCTCGACAGGCCATCGACACCATTCTAGCCGATGAGATGGGCCTCGGCAAGACCATTCAGACTGTGGCCTTTCTCTATTCGCTCTAGAAGGAGGGTCACTGCCGCTTGCCTGGGCAGCATCTATTGGGCTGTCCTGAACCTGCTGTCCTGCTGAACCATCCACAATGCCGATACTTCGAACTCGAGAGAGGAGTTCACAAGAACGGATGTGATGATGTTTTCGAGCTGGAGCTGCAGTCTGCTATCTGATGTTCATCGTCTGATCAATGAGCTGTGCTGCGCCAGCGCTGTTTTCATCGGTCACTCTACGGTGGGATGAACTTGAATCAATACTAATTAATATATCTCAAAATCGGATAAAGTACCTGAGAGCCTCAACGTAGGTGGGTGAAAGTGGCATTTGAATGCTGCTCCGCTAAGTCAATACATGACTCGCTGTTCGTGTCGAGCCCAGTGCCAAGTGGATGCTGCCGCAGACAGTCGTTATTTTGGTCCTCCATCCAGGTGGTAAACTTGGGACAACCCACGGCATCGCGATTGATCAAGAGACGCACACAGCGCGGTCCAGGGTACTGCGCCAAAGCTACAAACGGATGCAATTCTAGCGAGGTGCCCATGATGGTCAGCAGCTCGCACTCCTTGAAGTCTCCATCCAAACTTTTGTGGAACTTCTCGGGCAAGTCTTCTCCTAAGAAAACAATATCCGGCTTCACAATTTTCTTGCATGCCGTGCACTTGGGCAGCCGATCAGCGAAGATCTCCTCCTTCATCCAGGCAATGCCGTATTCCTTCTTGCACTTAATGCAGTGGTTTGTGTGGAAGCTGCCATGGGCCTCGACCAGCTTGTCTTCCGGCACGCCCGCCAGCCGATCCAGCGTTCGGTCAGTTGTAAGATTTCGAGTGTGTACAATTTTAAATAAATAAAACAAAACTCTACGCCAACTTTAACTTGAAAAATGTGTATCAAAATATCTGTATTGCTTTTAAATGGAGTTTGTAGGGGGAAAACGGTGTAGATAGGCCAATATTAACATGAGAGCTTCTCACGAACATTTCCGAACATTTGTAAACCTTTACAAATTATTGTAAATAATTAATTACATTAACATAAATGAAGCAACACGGAAATTTAAATATTTACATATTTGTAATTA